TCCTTCCTTCAACAGTTGCGCCAGCTTCCCTCAACAGTTGCGCCGTCGAGACAAGGCCCAATGTTTTGCCTGTGGATTAGTTCGATAGCTAGTTCGACACATTCACCCTGCTAGATTGGAAATATACTAAAAAGCCCCCCCCCCTCTTTTCTTACACAACGATCCACGTTATCCTGTGGGAATCATAGGAGAATGTAGTCACAATGTTCCGTTTTTGCAAGTATACTCTCATAGACTTGTTCTTTCAAACTAATTAAATTTAGTGCGAAAATATTGGCTAGAACCAGCGTTAAACACTTTTGAACTTTCAAATGTGATTTCTGCAGAACTTTTTTTTCGAGCATACGCCCTTGTTCCAAAGAACTCCATAATTCAGGATACAATTTTTTGCGCAGGAAGTTTAAAAATGACGCAAAACTGGTCCGCTGTTGAATATGAAAGATTACATAAGTGCGCACCAAAAAAAAAAGTTAGTGCTTTAATAGCTAATTCTCATGTAATTTTCAGCCCTGGATCCAAGCACGACCTCGGTTTTCCCTGTCGCCGCCATTTTCCAGGCGAATTAGGATTATTTAAAAAATCTGTTTATGATATTACGACATTAACTTCCCGCAGAATTGCAGGAACATTTCATGTGGTCATCAAAAGGCCTTCTTCAAAAGCGGTCATTTTCAACCTCGCCCTAATCTTCGCTAAATACTTTCTTAGTCCATAAAGGATCACTTCTCAAGTCCAAAACACTGACGATTTTTGAAATCAAACAGTTACAGATATAGGGGAAGGGGGTCAAAGTTAAAACTTTAAACTCGCATATCTCGTGAACGGTTTGTCGTAAAGAGATGATCTTGGTCTCAAAATTTAGAGAAAACCACCAGTTTTTAGACGATGATAACAAAATTGGTCCATTTTGAAAATATCATCCATTGCTGCCACGTTGCCGTGCCTCAAATTTTCAATTTCTCACACTTTTAGCTGGGGCGGTACCTTTCTAGGTCACTCCTCGACAAAATCATTCGTCAAAAATTTCAAGATCAGGATAAACGGTCTCCTTTCATCAGAAAATATTTTTGTTACTTTTTGTGCAATTCCTTTAGCGTCACAGCTGAAAATGTGAAAATTAGAGTTACTGCAACGTGACAGCAATGGATGAAATTTTCAAAATGGACCAATTTTAACACATTGCCTGAAAGCTAGTGGTTTTCTCTAAATTTTGAGACCAAGATCACCTCTCTACAACAAACCATTAGCGAGATTTGCGAGTTTAAATTTTTTACTTTGACTCCCCTCCCCCTCCCCCGGGATTGTCCGAATTCAAAAATATTCAGTGTTACGGACTCGAACTCCTCTATCGACTCTGAAAATATGTCGAAGATCAGGCCAATGTTGAAAATGGCCGATTTTGAATAAGGTCCGTTCTTCCTTGCTCTGGTCACAAGAAAGAGAGGCGAGTAAGGATAGGAATCGATGCGCAATACGTCCTTACCAGTCTTTGTTTACATTGCAAAGAGCCAAAAACGTGAATTCTGACGGTGAATGAGCGAACTTGTTTGTGTGTGTTTCATGTGCGTCTGTGTTAGTGACTACGCGCTCACACGCGCTCACGAGTGCGTTTTCATAAGAGCAATACCAGGCAACGCGCCGCGCCAGGCCGTCGCTGAGTTGTCACCAGAGACTCTGCGGGAAACTAAAGTCGTCGATAGTACATGCATTTTATAACTTTGTAAGAGCAGTACAGGTTCAGAAAAAATTGCTTGATTTGTGAAAATTAAGTGAAACGTGAAAATGTTTTAATAAAACTTAAATAAGCTTTGCAAATGTAATAATACAGTCCTGCTGATTCAAGGTAAGACTTTTTTCCCGTCAATTTTCCCCATTCTCGTCCAAAAAAAACAACTCAAAAACGCTATTATTCACGAGAACGCACAGGAAGTGACTTACGAATCATTAATATTCCTCGAAATATCAACGATTAGAAATCATTGCCTTCACATGGTCAGACGGGATATATTATTAAAATGAATAGCAATAAATTGCCCATGTGGAGGAGTCCCCTGGGGCTGTTCTCTCGGTTGTCGGTAAGCTACCGAAACAGTTCCGTCAAGAAAAATTTAGGATAAGAACGCTCTTACCGATAGCGATCAGAGTTTTCGGAGCTGACGAAAATAAGCTGTTGCCGTTTGTGCATCTATTTTACGCGCCGACGCGCCAGGCAATCTGATAAACCGACACACGGGGCAACAATGCATTAAGTGCGAGCTCTCAAAAATCCGATAGGGCCGATATCATCGCCACTGTCGGCACTGCCGCCAATTTCGGTAAGAGACGATATACAGGCATCAAATTATTTTCTATCGTGACTTTGCATAGTATACTTACTAGGGTGACCGTTAAAAATTGCTTTATCGAATTCTTTATTGGAAAACCCTGCAGAAGTTTCCTATTAGTGTGTAAAAAAGGACCAAAAAAGAAAATCGAAAAAAAAAAATTTTAACCGTGCCGCACGGCCATTGTATGTGGTACGCTTGCAAGCTCGATTTCCGCAAATCGCGCTTTTGGCGTTTCGAAGCGTCTCCGAAGGCATGATAGAATTCATCTAGACATCTGACATTAAGGTTATTAACTCAACTTTTTGCGTACTTTCACGTGATGTTAACAGAAATTTTGTAAAATTTTTCAAAGTACGATTTTTTTGCTCTCAAAGTAGGACGAAAAGACGCAATGCGAAAATTGAAATTCGCACATCGCGGTATATCACGTTTTGGCGCATTGCTTACGCACGATAATTTTCATGCAGGGATCTGATAACATGGTTGGTAACTCAACTTTCTTCGTACTTTCACGTGGTGTAAACGGATTTGTTTTTTAATTTATCAATGTACGATTTTTTTTACATTCAAAGTAGGGCAAAAACACGATATCTGGAAAATAATTATGTTGAGTCATATCTTGGCTTCATTAAGTTTCCTAATCAGTCCGGGCGACTTGGAAATTGCATTTGGAAACACTTTGTTTCAAACAAAAAAAGGTTCTGAGAAATTGCTTCTTAGTGTGTCAAACATTCAAATGAGACCAAAAACATTTTTCTGTCCTAGTCTTGAAGGTCTGGCATTAGTTCCTGGACTTTATGACACCCTTTACAGGAGCAAGCCCCCCCCCCCCCAAAAAAAAAAAAAAAAAAAAAAAAAAAAAAAAATACCGAATGATAACTATGAAATGAAACCAGAGGGCACTTATATTAATGAAAAAAATATTCATACCCATTATTTTCACTGTTGGAGTTACTAGCAACTGGTTTGAAATGATAAGACTCCACAGAATCCTCTTCTGCAGATTCAGGCTCTCTCAGATTGCTGAAGGTACATTTCAATTCACCAAATTCATCATCATTTCCACGTGTATTCTTCAAAACTTCTTCGAAATAAATGTCCTCCTCGTCATTAAAGTAGATGCCCAGGTCATCTGCAAATTCTTCATTCATTGCTTAACCTAGACACATTTTCAGAAGAAACCAATCAATTTGTGGGTCTAGTTAAGCTCTCTTGGTGTAACTCGACTCATAAACCAGAGTCATTAACAAGCAAGAAGATACATGCAGCATGCCCAAATGAAAACATTGTGACAATGCAGAGGTTTTTCCAAGCAGAAAGTAACATGAAAAAATTGCGAATTTTGACTATTTATTGAGTTCCTAGAAAGCAATAAAAAAACTAATATTGACACAAACAGCGCACCATGCTCTGGTGGCATTGAAAGTAAATCTATGCAGAATTGCTAAAGTTTACCTGTTAATTTCTAAAACATAATGTCTCTTCATCATGATTTTCTACCAACAATTATTGTTCATATTTATTTTTACAAATCCCGATTCAAATTAATTACACCATTACACTGAATCTGTTATAATAATACCTACATTTGATATTTTGTAGCCATGTAATTTATCTAAAGAAGTTCCCTGCTCATTCTCTTTTACAGCCACCATAAAGAAACACTGCTGAGATGCCTCCTTAAAGTCTTAACCAGGAGCAGGAGAGTATGGAATGGTTGGTTGTTTAAAAATGTCTCTCAACTAAAATGTGGGTGCAAAATCTTCCAAGCTACCACATTTTGTCTGCCTGGGCGCTTGATCAAGCATTTTCTGCACGCCTGAACTTAAATCCTTCACACCCTGCAAAAAGACAGCTCCACATTACACGGAATTAGCCAAACAGCAAGTCAAATAACAAACACTCGGGGTTTGGCATGTTGTAAGCGTGTCCATGAATTTTTCCTCCACACTGAGTACCCGCCTATGACCAAGTTTTTTTTCCACTTGGTGCACACTAAATTTCTGGCAGGAACATCATATGTTTCCCAAGTAAAGAGAGAGCACTGCACATATGAGGGAGGTGTCCATCTTTCAGCCTCCTAAGAATAGGCTTGTTCCTTGAGTCGTAGGCACAAACTTGTGACTAAGCAGCGTTTTGCTTGGGCTTACTGTCAGTGTTCTGCCAATTCACTGTGGCACAGTTGAGTTTAGCCGCTACTTCTTCAAACATTTAGTACATCGTTTCTTTCAGAACTCTGATGCAGGAGGAGGGAGGGCGTATACTCATTTCTTCGGCATGGGCGTCTGGTAGCCTTGGGCAGCAGGTATGATAGGCAAAAACATCTCTGATAGCTTCCTGGTCTCAGAGAACCCAGTCCTCCTCGCAATGCCCAAGGTGTGTGTTTTCATGAGATATCGACGGTAATAATACCTGACCATGTATCTCGTTCGTCCATTAAAAAATCTATGCTCCCATTTCACTTTTTTAAGGACAACAAATTCTTGAGACTTCTAGAGTTTCACAAAGTTTACTATGCGCAGTGAAGAAAAATCACAGAAGTTCTCAAGAATTGATGCTGACTAGTTTTCCATTCGAAAACTAGTCTGGAGGTCTGCAACGTAGTAAACTGAGATATAAAGTTCCGTAGTATCACCATCGATAAGTAGGAGTTCGAAGAGATTGGCGAACATGTTAAACAACAAGAGCTGTAATATTCACGCAACCTTCAGAGGATGGGCTTCGACAAGAAACCCATCTATCAAAAGTATTGCAAAAAAGCACAACCTTTGAGGGGTTTGAACGACAAGGCGCATCAGTGCCGTTTTTGAAAAAAATGGTATATTAAGCTGATTTGTCAAGCTCAAATGACATGGTCAAATTAGCATGCAATATATCGCATCAATAAGGTCATAAAACTCGGCAGATTTTGAATTTTCAGCAAAAAAAGGACTAATGCCCCTGCGCATGAGCCTACAGAATCATTCTAAACCCAAAAATCAACAAAATTCAGAGAAATAAAAGCAGAATAGTGCTTGGAGTCCATACAGAGATCAATGGCTGAATCGAATGCGAGGTTTTCTTCCAAACACTATTCTGCTTTCATTTCTCTGAATTTTGCCAATATTTGGGTTTAGAGTGGTTATAAGAATCTTTGTCCAATGTTTTTGTGTCCAATTTTTTTTGGTCCATTTGACATTTATGTCCAGTAGTTAGTTTGGTCCAAAAGAAAATTTGTCCTACCTTCTTTAGTCCTCTTTATTACTTTGACTCATACTTATCTGTCCAATGATTATATTTTATTTTTGTCCAATTCATAACGTAGGTAAATGTTAGAAAAGGGAGTACCGTAAGGGAGTAACGTAAGAGCATGTTGGAAATGAAGGTGGACTTAATAGAATCTGCATACATTTTAAGCTGTTGGTACAGAACGTTGTAAGTGTCCTCGGTTTTATGGGAACACAGCTTGTGAACTAAAGGCAGGACAACGCCCATAAAAAAGTATGTACAAAGGACAGAAAAAAAACCGATTGGACCTAAAACGCAGGGCCATTTTATGGATTGGACCAAAAAATATCGGACCAAACTTACTGGACTAAGTGATACCGGGCAAAATTTATTGGACTAAAATTCTCTAGGACGAAAAAAATTGGACGAAAATTCCTGAAACCTTTAGAGTGATTCTTAAGGCTCATGCGCAGGGGTTATTGTCCCTCTTTCTGCCAAAAATTCAAAATCTGCTGATTTTTATGACCTGATCAATGCGATGTATCTCATGCCAGTTCTACCAAGTCACTTGAGCTTGACGAATCACCTTACTGATTTCGGGTAAAACTAAACTAAATGTATATACAGAGAAACATTAGCTCCCAAATTTCAATAGTTCAGCATCAAGATATCAGTTTGGACTTCCTCTCCACCACTAAAAACCACATAATTTCAAAAATTCAAACATGTATTTCTTGAATTAGCAAAAACTCCACTTATCTTTCTTGTCCACCAAGCCCCTCCTAAAACCTAACCACACAATAAAATAACTGAAAAAATATTACCATTTCAAAAAATGTCAATTAAATTTACAATGGACCTGATCCTACAAAAAGTACTCCAACGAGAAGAAGATTTCATGTCAACTTCTGTGAAGAGGATGACTGACGTACGAAAACCTTGATACTAGATACTATGAACTTACAGCAAACTGCGGAAAAGAAAACGCACATATACATATATCTTACCTTCTACAGCTTACTAACTTAAAGTAGCTACAATAAGTAGGTCTGACTATTTTCCCTCAGCTTTCATTTTGTTATAATCAGATCAGTCATTTGAAAGTGCTCGTGCTCGTGCTCGCCACAACGGACGGTTCATCGATGCCTTTCCTGGCCATTGGCCAGCGGTTTACGTCGGGCCAATCGATGACACCGCAATCACACGCTGAATGTGTACGAAGGGCCGTTTGTTTAATTATAATCGTCGGCCCGGCGAATATTGAGGTTCACCGCTCAACAACGCATCGGTGACTCCCACATTAAACAACAGAGGCCATCAGTGCGATCACGTATACACCTAGCGATTAATCGCCGCGATCAGC